CGGAAAAGGTAGGAATCTCACCACGGGGCAAACTTCTTACACCGTTCCTCTGAAGAGTGAAACTATGTAGCTTAAGAGAGAGTTAAGAGGAACATAGTGCTAGGACAATTCCTACCACCAGGGGGAGCACAGTCGCAGAAGACAATTCCCACCACCAGGTGGAGCGAGCACAGTCACACAGAACAGCATCCGCCACCAGGTGGAGCACAGTCACAGAGGACTGCCATGAGAATCAATTTTCAGGTGACCTAGCACACCTGGGTCGCTCTGACTTTGCCCATTCACCACATTCAAATTTGTGAATCAATTTGTTAAATATGAGACAGAGAGTTACACTGAATGACAAGATAAGAAGCAAGAACCCTTGATAAAAACCCACGATCAGAAGTGCTCCTCTTAGCTGAGGGGGTTTGCAGCTCCATGCGGGGAGCAACAGTGTCAACCAGCCAGACCAAACCACCAACCAAAGAATACACATGGAGGGACCTATGGCTCCGGCCGTGTATGTGGCAGAGGATGGCTTTGTTGGACATCAGTGGGAGGAACGGCCGTTGGGCTTGAGGGTGTTCCATGCCCCAGCGAAAGGGAATGCCATGGCGGGAAGACGGGAGTGGGAGGGTGGGGAGTAGAGCTCCCTCATAGAGGCTGGGGGAAGGGGGATGGGATAGGGGGTTTCCAAAGGGGAGACTTGGAAAGGGGAAAACAATTGAAATGTAAATAAAGAAAATATCCAATTTACAAGAAGAGGAAGAAGAGAGAAAGAGGAAGAAGAAGAGGAAGAAGCGCTCCTCTTGCCTTCTGGGAACCTGCTTCCCAGTGGCAGGATTTACAGGTCCACAGAATAGAGGAGACAATGGGAAAGAAGAAGATTCAGTCTGGATTCAGGAAGATGTGCACTGGAATTTTATCCTTGTTACACCTCAGTCACTGAAACCTTAGTCTCCAGATTCTCATTCGGTATACTAGGGAGGTAGTGTCCTTCTCACAGGGTTCTGGTGAGGATGTGTGCAAATTTCTCACCATCCAAACTAATGCCCAGACTTTGTAATGTTAAGCCTCGAACACTCAACATGTTGACTGATCACTGGACACTGTGATAAATAACGTCCTCAGCTTTCTGGGATCTAGAAGCACCAGGAGACAAGTCTTCAGGCAAGCCTGTGAGGGATTACCTATGTTAGAGTAATTAAAGTGGGAAAATCCACCTTAACCTTGTGTGACTCTATGTCATAGGCTGGAGTCCTGAACTAAACAAAAAGGTAAGCAAACCAAACATAGACATTCATATCTCTCCCCACCCCACCCCCTCAAATCAGGGAAAATGCCTCAGACTTCCATAGAAATACCTTCTCCCAGGGATGGCATCTCCAATGGGAAGTCAGAATTAACCCTTTACTTCTTGGGTTGCTTATGTCAGGATCTGATCACAGCAGAGAGACAAGTCTCCAATACAGATATCATGATGGAGTCAAAGATGGAAAGGCGATGTCTCTGATTATTAAGATGCTTTCTCTTACAGTTGATTAAATCTGGGTGGGGTGCTGGAGGTAGGAGGTTCACCTTGAGTGTGAGCACTTAGCAAGACTCTCAAAACCAAGAACAATAGAAGGCAGGCTGATTAGAACGGTGATAATAACGATAATTTGCACTTGGTGGGCAGAAGGTCAGCCTCTGGTGCTGTTATTGCAGGCCAGTGCTTACTGTGCTACCCAGGGTGGTCTCAAACTTCTGGGAGGAAGACATCCTTTCTTAGGCTCTAGATAGCTTAGACTAGGGGCCTCTGTAGTGTGAATGAGAATGGTCCCCATAGGCTCTCATGTTTCACGCTTATTTCCTCTCCATCTGTCTGTCCCTTGGTTTTTTGTCTCCATAGGTAAGCTCTTGGCTGCTGTTCCACTCCCATGCCCGCCTGCTACCATGCTAGATGTCAGGATGCTCATGGACACATCCTCCAAAACTAGAAGCAAGCTCAAGTTACATGCTTTCTTTCTTAAGCCGCCTTGGTCACGGTGTCTCTTCACAGCAATAGAAGAGTAACCAAGACAAGGCTAAGCCAGAAGTTCTTCTTCTCTTCAGCAATTTTAAATAATTATCTCAGTAAGAGATTATTCAGTTTCAGGGATCTAGGAACTAACACATTTCAAAGACAAAGGTACAGAAGCCTACGGAAGTACAGTGTTTGGTTGGTTAGTTGATTTTATGATTTTTGTTTTTGTTTTGTTTGTTTGTTTTTTTAATACAGAGGAAGTGGTGGGACAAGGACTCTCCACTGAGCCCGCTGTATCAGAAGCTCAGTTCTAGGTTCAGACAACAATTCATTTCCAGTGGCTCAGTCTCTTCTGCCACATTGCGTCTCTCAGATATAAATATGGAATAAACCGCAAAGCACCGTGGGTGATAGGAAGCTCAGCTAGATTTGAACCAGTCCCATTTACATGTGACCTGAGGACTGTGACTCCACACGGGCTGCCTGCCGCAGGTCTCACTGTCCCCAGACCGACCCATCCTTTCTCTGTCAGTTCTCACAACACGATGCAAATCTAACCACGGCACTTCAGTACTGAAAAGGGTCCCTGGTGTTCAAGGACTGTGTGCATTATCTCAGCACGGCACAGGAGGTCTCTCCGGGGTGGCTGTGACCTTCCTGCCCAGCTTCTGCACTGGACAATCTGGAGCCTGTGTCCTTTTTCCTAAGTCTGACGCAGATGCGGTCAGGGCAGCCCAGAACTGAGTTCCAGACACAAAGGACTCAGCAGTGAGTCCTAGCCCCTCTGCTTCCTTAATATCAAAAACTCATAGTGAAACCTCCTATGTAGTAAGAGAGCTAACAAATCCTTTGCAGCTGAAGCTCAGTTATCTGAGTGATGAGCCAGAATGCACTATAGCCGGGGTTTAGTCTCCGGCACTTCACAAAACTGGTTGTGGGGATATCAGCCTATAATCTCAGCATTTATGGAGTAGAACCAGGGGCATTGGGAGCTCAAAGTCATCTTCATTGATAGAGTTAATTTGAGGGCAGCTTGGGCTACATAAGATATTGTCTCAATAAATAAATATACAAATTCAAGGCCACCTTGGTCTACATGAGATCTGGCTTCCAAAATAACAGATCCCCAGTCTTTCATTCTCTCCTGTTATAGGATAGAACATCGATAAAAAATAAAAATAAAATGAAGCAGTGAGTAATTTAGAAAATGCCAGCCCAGTGCATGTATACGACACCTGCATATGTTTAAATGTTTGAAGTATTTTTGCCTTCTCTCATACTTAACATGTGAGTGAACCTCTGAAAAAGTTGTTCGCAATTACCCAGAGAAAATACGCTTTTTCTCCAGAATGCATCTTCTCCTCACATAGATTGCCAACTACTTACTGTTTCACCCTTAAGCTCAGGGACTGGGGTGGAGGTGGGGGCGGGGCGTTGCTCAGGAATGTTCGTGCATGTATGAGGACATTGGCTAATTCTCCATCACTGCAAACTCCTAGGACTTCTTAGTTCCTAAACAGTCTCAAACACACAGTTCATTTTTCCTTTCCTCTGTCTCCCCAAGCCCTATTCTTGGATGAGGTTATTATTTCTACAGCATTATCACAATGCCTGCAATTATTTATTCATGGTGAGATTTACCATGAGATCCTTTAGGTCAGGTGCCTAACGCTGGATCCCTCCCTCACCTCCTAGCTTGTGTTCAGTCAGCATTAAGAACTAATGTTGTCTCTAAGAGAATAGTCTAAATGTCGCTACAATCTTTAGTTCTCGAAGTGTAAACACTCTCGAATCAGATATCCCTGTGCCATAATCACTTTGATAAGTCAGGATCACAGCATTTGGAAATTTTGAGAGGAACCAGGAAAAGCAAACCCAGCTGAATGAAATCTAGCAACATCCTAAGTGTGACTGACTCTAGAACACCGTGCTTTCCCTGACATCCTAGTACCTCGAATGTTCAAGAAGTTGTCCTCCCGACCTCAACGGTAGAGTCGCATGCTCTCTGATTTTCAACAGACTGGTCCTTCACAATGCAATGTTCAGTTTTCCTCCTGGAGTACAGTGTCTTGAATTCTATCAGGGTGACACCCAACACTGGGCTTCAACTACTGGAAAATAGCCTAGCCAGAGCCCACATGGAAGGTAGCAAGGTCTATCCCCAAGTTTAAAGGGGTATCCAGGTGTTGACCACTGCACTGAAACCAGGGGAAGCACAGCACTGGGTGAGCCGACAAGGACGGACACCTCTAGGTGCGTGGGTTACCCACGAGGGACATCCATCCTCCAAGTCGAGCTCAGAGCGGGGCGGGGGTGGGGCAGGGTCATGACAGAGAAGGTATCGTCCCAGGAACACCTTCCTCTGGGCGACAGGGCCCCGCCTTGCCTAAGTCCTCAGGGCCCGCAGCATTGGTTCTCGCTGCAAGCGAGGTCTGGGCTCCCAGTGGGCGGGGGCGCGGCTCCGGGTGCGCGTGTCGCCGCGGCCGCCAGGGGGCAGCAGCGTCCAGTGGGCGGCGGAGAAAGAGCCGAGGCGCCGGCGACCGAGGCAGCGGAGGACCCTCGCGGCGCCGGCTCCGGATCCGCAAACTCCGCGGGGCTGACCCGGGCGCGTCCGAGCCTCGCCGCCGCCGCCCTTCGGGACCCGCCGATCGCACCCGCGTGGGAACTGCCATCCCTTCGGCCTGCGGGGCGTCGGCAGCGGCGGTAGCATCCCAGCCTCGGGGCGCCGGCAGGAAGGGAGGCGGCGGCGGCCGGCGGGGCGCGACCCCCCGCGCAGCGCGGGGCTCAACAATGGTGCGCGGCGCTCGGGCGATCCCCGCGTCCGCCCCACTGCCGTAGAGGAAGCGGCCGGGAGACGCCCCCCGCCCGCCCTGCTCGCCCGAGTTTGCACGGCCGGCCTCGCGGGCTGGGGCTCCCGCTCGCCAGCGCCCAGGGCGGCTCAGCCCGGAGCATGGTGCCGGCGCCCGGCTCCCTCTGATCGCCCAGATCGCTCCTCTCCCTCCTCCTTCTCGCTCCTCCCGTCCCTCCCGTCCCTCCCGCGGGTGCTGCCTCTGGCTTCTCTGCGAGAGGGAGTACAACTCTTCTGCTTCTCCACGGAGAGTGGCCGGTGACCACCCGACGAGAACTTGCCCATTGAAAGCAAGCCCCGGAACAGCCGGAGAATGTCCACCCCGAGCAGATTCAAGAAGGACAAAGAGATCATAGCCGAGTATGAAAGTCAAGTCAAAGGTAAGGATGGGAGTGGCCGCCTCGGCTCCTTTTGTGTGCCTGCTTGTCATTGTGCTCCTGGAGTTCCGTGTGTAACTTGGTGGCTGCCTGGGCGGACAGTTCGGCTCCTGGCTAAGCCCCCAGGGCCTCCTCAAAGCCAGTCCTAACCTGATCACGACACTACCGGGACAGGCTATACCAGGTGGCTTCCCCAGGCTGGAGCTCCTGTCTCCCAACCGGCTGGAACTTAATCACCTTCAGCTGGCGATTTACTGGGGCAGGAAGGCAGCGCCCAGAGTTCCTGCCCAGTTGTCATATCGCCGCCAACCTTTTTATGGGAAATCATTGTCACGGCATTTTTTTTTTAACTCCAATGGAGTCATTTTGTAAAGTCTGAATACTCAGTGGTCGAGCGTTTCATTGAGCGAAGGCTGTTTCAGACATGCACGCTATTATTCCCTGTTAATTTAGCAGGGCGAGTCTGCTTTTGTAAGGAAAAAAAAAAAGCTCTCTCAAAGCCCTGGCGGTTAAACCTACAGCGACTACTGGAATCTGACTCCTCCTTTATAGCTGGTGTTAGCTAGCTGGAATCCAGTACCATCCTTCACACTCACGGGAGGATATTGCTTTATCATTTGCCGGAGGGCACTTGCATATGGAATGAAGGCTTTGAATATATGAGAAAGTAGTTTCAGTCCATTTACATAGTCAACTAATGAAGGCAACCTAATTAAGGTTGATTAAGCCTTTTACTTTCTGTGCTTCACACTTTAAAAATATCTTTTCCCTCCAATTCAAGTGTTTTGCTTTGCACTGGAGTGTTTAATAAACGTCTATGTGTTTGCCGCCCCACCCCCAACCCCCTGTGTGGTCTCCGCATTTCCCGATGAAGACAATGGATGGGGGGTGTGAAGAACGCCCGTGTTCAGTGGTGCGTTTAATGCAAAGTTCATTCAGATTGCTATATCGACACCTGCAGTTACATACAGTTTTGTGGCAGGGCTACTGAGCTGACTTGAACAGTGAGGGCTTGCCTTGGGAATGGCTGGAGACTCGGTGGGTGTCTTTGTGTGGTCAAGTTGTGAAATGCCTGAAGTCCTGAAGAGCACCTGGGGCAGGGGAATCCTGGGTCACCTGAGCAAGAGGGTGACTCACGACAGTCAAACTCCGCACGCAGTTCAGGCTGACCTTCAGAGGGGAGTTAAGCTAAGCGTTTATTTTGAGAAACTCAGTTTTCTTTCCACCTGTCATGCAGATCAGTTCCTACTTCTATTATTATTTCCTTACAGCAGGTAAACTTTCTAATGAGCATAACATGTTTTCCCTCCAGTATGTCTCATATAGCCCAAAATGTTTCACAGGCAAGGACTCCTGATGACAGTCACCGTATCTCTGTGCATGTTATCCACATGGTGCTTTGTGGCAGGTTCTCCAGAAGTGACAATCTGCTTGTCTGACGGCTTGGAGCACCTGCTGGCACAATTCATTCCCATAAAGGTCTCCTGATGTGGGTATCTATTTCATTGTAAGCCATTTGAAAAAGGACAGGACTCACTTCCAGGGAGGAAAGCTTTGAGTATTATCTTAATTTCCTTAGGGTGTAAGTTCTGTAATATGAGTGAGTATAAGCCATCTTTATTTATTAAAGATGAAGCAAATGGGGCTCGCTACACTGTATCTATCAAATCTAAAATTAAGGGAAAATGGTGAACAAGGTGTAAGCTATTTCTGAAACAATTCAGTCCACAAAAAGTGACCTTTGCTTAGTCCCTTCCACTGTCCACACCCAGTTCTTAGGTTTAGGTGTCCAACTTGACCCTACCCTGGGGCCAGACTTTAACACAGAGGGGGGGGGGGGGAGAGAGAGAGAGAGAGAGAGAGAGAGAGAGAGAGAGAGAGAGAGAGAGAAGAGATTAGGATCACTCTATTCATATGCAAACATGGGAATTGGGTATTTTAATTCAGGTGGGTCTAACCCAGCCCATTCACCTGTGCTCCAGGTGAGAGAAAGGACAGCTCAGGGTGTGTAAAAGCAGCTGTCCTGTGCCGAGAAGCTGGCCCCTCTGAAGGAAAGCCCGGGAGACCAGCTCTGGGCTCCTAACCCTATCACCACCCTGCTCCCTCCTGGTTGCCTGTACCCTTGCCCAGGCCAGGCTAGCATTTAGATTTGTAGTTTTGTAGTTTTGGAATAATCTACTCATTTAATTCCAGCTAGTTACTTCATCTGATACTAAACAAAAGAAGCCCTCCTTTTCTGTTGCTGAAGAGGAAACCTGGCTTTGTTGGACACGTTAGGTGTGTTCCCAAAGAATAAAGTCACATGTGTGAATTCTAGGTGACTTGGGCCAGAGCATGAGTGATTCTGATTCATTCTCATTAAAGGTGATTTTTTTTTCCACCTTCCAACTTAAAGCCCAACACTCTGGGTGTATTGTTCTTTCTTGCCGTCTCTCTCGCATTTCTCTGATAACAATTGCATTTACCTCAGAATTACTGGGATAGTATTTTGATCTGACAAAATAACTCAAGACCATGGATTTTCTCTCTGTGGCTGCCAGCACAGGTTGGAGAGCAAGACTACCTGGGGCTATAGTCAGTCTCTGGTAATAATGTGTAATTTCATGTGTGAAGCCATAATTGTATTTAGTTCCATGATTTGTGTTGGATAGGTCTCTCTCTCTCTCTCTCTCTCTCTCTCTCTCTCTCTCTCTTTCTCTCTCGGGTGTGGTTTTTCTTATCTAAGAGGAATTTAAATTTTCCCAGTCCCCAGGGTCTTTGATCAAATTTAAGATGTCATGAAAATTCATATTAATTGCTTCATAAAATGTTCAACCTTTTCATGATTTTTTTTTTTCTTGGCTGACCTGATGTGGATGGAATCATCTTTGCCTTTAATTTTTCCATAGCAAACCAATTGAGTTATTGGGAAACTAAATTAGAATTGAATAAAGAGTCTAGAAAAATAAAACCATGGTCAGATCAATATAGACGAAATGTGTAAAATGAAGTAGGAGTTACCTGAATAGGTGTAGAACAGTTTAGTCAGGAACAAACCCTACCACCCCCGCCACCATTGAAGAGCACATGTTAACATGGTTTAGAGTTTAGTCATGACATGTATGTTAGTCAGCATCTCAAACACAGAATCAAGGGAGCACTTGGAGACATCGAGATGGAAAGTTCAAAGTTAGCCTGACAACATACTGAGAAAGGAAATAAGGAAGGAAAGAGGGAGGGAGGGAGGGAGGGAGGGAGGGAGGGAGG